GAGTTCTCGCTGTGTGCAATAGCATGCACTCTGATGATATCCTTGGGAAGGGGTTGGAGTGTCCGGCGTCTAGCTGCTCCTCCCCTTCCCTGGCTCCAAGACAGAGCTTTGTGCTGTTTGCAGAGCCCCAAAGACTGTTCAACTTTATGGCATTGCAAATTTGCTCATTGAAGTGTGGAAAATATTTAGAGACTGGCCAATCAAGAGCTTGCTTTTGACTTTAAATTCAAAGCATGCTCTAACAATGAAAAATGTGTAGAATGCTTAAAAGCAAAGGCCACAAGAGTTCCACACCCTCCAGTTACTGTGAGACAAACAATCCAACAAACCATTGGATCTTTTATAAGCTGATCTTTCTGGACCAATAAATTAAAAGTCAGCAGGAGGCAATTCTTACTTTATTAATAATTTCAGCAGGTACACATACACTTACCTTCTCAGAGAGAAGAGTGAAGCCTTTCAAAAATTCAAAGAGTACTTTAACTGAGTTTCTAACAAATTTGGCTAGAAACTGAAGAGCTTGCACATAGACAATGGCACCAAAGTTGTCAATGCTGAATTTCATGAATTTTTAAAGGAACATGTCATTCAGCATCAGACCACACAAGTTTATTCTCTGGAATAAAATGGCATGGCAGAGAGAATGAACAGAACTCTCAAGGAGAGAGTGACTATGCTTTTAGAAGCCAATATGCCTAAAAGCTATTGGTCTGAAGCCATCATGACTGCTACATACCTGTGTAACCGACTGCCAACTAAATCCAAAAATGTAACTCCATTCCAGTTGCATGGAGTTAAGCCTAAATTAAACCATCTGAAGGTTTTTGGAAGCAAAGCATTTACCCTATTCCCAAACGGAAAAGAGACAAACCTGATTGTAGAAGTGAAGAGGAAATTTTTGTTGGTTATTCTAGAAATGGTTACAGAATTCTAAATTCAGATGGATTCATAATAAAATTAACAAGTGTTGTTTATGTTGATGAAAGATCACAGCCCAAATCTAATCCAAACCAAGATGTATATTCAGCTTTATTTTCAGTGGAAGAAGACTCCCACTATCAACCAGAGCATATGGAGTTATTTTGTCTTCCAGAGGTCTTGCATCCAGAAAGGGCTAAACCTGCAATGGACAACCTAATGGTGAGGAACCGAACGGTGTACAAGAAACAGGGCTAGGTATCCAAGTCCAGGTGAGAAGGTCAGGATGCTCTAATAAAGGTGTGCCACCTGACAAATTCTCTTATTCAAGCCATAGAGGAAAGAATTCCAAAACTTTCTGATTGGAAAAAGATCAAGGGATGGCCAAAGACAGATTCTAAGAAGTGGGTGCAAGCTGCTAGTGAGGAGATGCAATCTTTATATAAAAACAAGACATGGACTTTGTCAGAATTGCAGAAGGAAGAAGAGCAATCGGCTGTAGATGGGTCTTTACCATAAAGCAAGATGCAGAAGGGAGATTCAGAGATACAAAGTAAGACTTTTGGGTAAAGGCTACACTCAAAAGTATGGTGAGGACTACAATGAAACCTTTGCTGGAGTAGTTACACACACAACCATCAGACCTCTCCTAGCTGTCACATCCTACAAGAAAATGAATATTCAACATCTGGAGATCCAAACAGCTTTTCTATATGGCGATCTCTCTAACAGCTACCTATGGAACAACTTCCAGGATCCCAAGTTCCAGAAAAAGAATATATTGTATGTAAATTGCAAAAGAGCATTTATGGTTTAAAACAGGCCACCAGAACATGGAGTGAGAAACTGAATCAGGTTCTTATCAAAAAGGGGTTCACTCTAGGCACTATTGACAAACGTGTGTACAAGAGATTTAGGAATAATAAATGGACTTATATCAGCAGTTATATTGATGATTTGATCCTATGCAGTGAGGACAAAGCTGGCAGTGAAGAGATAATCCAGAATATCAAGAAAGAGAATGATCAAGAATTTGGGAGACATCTCACACTATCTTGGATAGTGTGATACAAAGAATTAGTGATGGAAGTTTCTTCCTTAATCAGAAGCAGAAAATAATGGATCTTCTAGACTGTCTTGGCCTAAAAGATGCAAATGCTATGCCAACTCCAATGGAAGTAGGTTTCTTAAAGGACAATAAGAAATCTGAACCTTTGAAAAATGGAGACAAGTATAGGACTGCAGTTGGAAAACTCTTATAAATAGTCAATTTCACCAGTTCTAATATTGCAAATGCTGTTGGTATATTATTCAGAATGGTCAGCTCTCCTACTGAAAGAGATTTCACAGCAGTGAAGAGAGTTGCTAGATACTTAAAAAGAACTGCAAATTAGAGACTGATGCTGCCAGCCTGTAACCAACCACAACTGATTGCCTACGTGGATGCAGGCTGGGTTTCAGATCTGGCAGACAGCAAATCAACCAGCAGAAAGCTGATCTTCTATGGTGAAGGAGCTGTAAGTTGGGCAAGTAAGAAGCAATCCACAATTACATATTCTTCTACTGGTGCTGAGTGCATTTCAGTAAAGACAGCATCTGATGAAATAAAATGGCTGTACAGTTTACTTCTGGACTTTGGGATAACAGAGTCCAAACCAACATTT